ACCTAAGTGTAAGGAAAGACCGCAGATTGCCATATGTTGCTTAGAATGATTAGGTAAATTAAAATGTCTAGCGACTGGTTTCGATGTGTCCTTGTCATTCCTTTCCACGTCTCGAAGGTGTTCTCGGAATCGGTCACCTAGTCTTCTGCCTGTTTCGCCGATGTATATCTTTTTGCAATAAGTGCAAGTTATGCAATAGATTACATTGGCGGAGGTGCACGTGAAGTGATCGGTGATCTTAATGGATCGTTTAGGTCCCGATATTTTATCAGTGTTGTGAATGAAAGGACACGTTTTGCATCGTGCACGAGCGCATTTAAAGGTGCCTGGTTGGTCATTAGTCTGAAAAGAACTTCTGACCGAAAAATTGCCTATGTTTTTGTCGCGTTTGAATGAAATGAGCGGAGGCTGCCAAAAGATAGCGCTTGTCTCTGGATCGTTTTGAAGTAATTTAAAGTTTTTAAGAATGATGGATTTAACTGAGTCAGTTGTGAGAGTGAAACGTGAGAGTGAATGGAATGCGGTCGGAATCTTGACTGGGTAAAGACGGTTATTTCAGGGCCATATTCCAAATAAAAAGGATTCTTTAATTTACAAGCTTCGACACCATTTTTGGCCAAGATACCAACGGTATATCATTGTTCCCTTCAAAAGTACATCATCCGCCCTTTGCTACAATGCAACTAGCTAGTGTAGGGGACAATGAAGAAACGACAAATATAAGGGGAAAGAAATTTGAAAACTGGTAGCTCAGCCTGGACGGTGTGTTGCGCTCTGAAAAGAAAACTTCTCCTTTAATACCAGTAGTTTTTAAAGAACTTGATCGTAAGTCTTACAGGGTAAATCCGGGAAAAGTAAATCCGGCGAAGGATATGCATTTTTTTCTCTTAATATAAGTTTAAAATGTTCTTCTGCTGTTTTTGGTGGCGTTTTTTAACATACCTCAGTCACTTATATTATTTGCCTGTGATACGAATGCGGATAGTGAAATAAAAAAGCGCCATATATGATCTGTTCACATACAGATTTCTGATCCTAAAAAAATAACATAATCAGATGTTGATAGTTCATCGGCCACTGTCGGCCGTTTTTTCGTTCTTTGCTTAAGTTGATGTTCGAAATCCAACAGGCAATATTTTTTTCGTTGAATTCGAACACAATCCATTATTTTATTTATCATATGCGTAGAGAATTCATAATTTGTAGTGGGAAATCAGTCAGGCAACCCATACCTTTGTGCTGACCGGAATTCCAATTCGACTTCGATTCATTTTAAGTTTCCCGTTTACATTCTAGTGGTCGATTCCATTTACCAAACTTTCGGCGGGCTGGTCAGAGGAAATTTGGTGCCCTCTAGAGTCGCAGAACCAAGGTAAAGAGTGGTAAAAGACGCTTTGAGACTTCCTTCGCGAAAGACTCGTTGTTAAGTTTTCCCCCTTAAGTCGTTCTCTCCTTCTATTCTGTGATACCTGTCTTACTGGGGGACAGTTCGGACCAAATCTTCTCTACCTATAGAGACGTTCTGATCTTCCATGGCATTGATTAGCTCATCATTGTCCCTGTTTAACTGTCACATTTCGTTGCCCAGCAGGGTATGCGTTTGCGCTGTGCCCATAACTTGACTTTCGAAGAAGGAGATCGCTCACGAGCTATTGAGGTCGCCTTTGCCATAGTATCAGTGCTTAGTACATTTTGTCCTTCACTGTTGGTGATCTGGCCGATATGTCTAAGATAATTCCATACAGCTCTTGTGGGCTGTGCTGTGATTAGTTGTAGAAAAGCCAGAAGATGTAAAACCAAGCTTTTGTGAAAGCGTGAATATGTATTATGTATTAAACACCGCTGCGAAGTAATTATACTTTTTTTCTCCCGCATTCTAGAACAAATCTCAATGTTTATGATATGACCAGATTGTGCTCTATGACAATCAGTTTATTTGTAAAAGAAGCAATAATCACAATCATGGCGATGAGGTATGATTTGTCAAAAATCGTGGAGATCCAAGAAGGAAAAAGATCATTAGGGAAGACAAAGATAAGATAAAATACATCTTTTCTTATTTCTTTACCAGCTCAAAATTTACCATCTTTCTTTTTTTTGTTCTTATGCTATTTTACTTTAATGGATTATATACTGATATTGAACTAAACGCAGTAAACTTAACAAAAGCAAATGATACATGAGATTAAGATGGCAGAAAACAAAAGGTATCTCAAACTTATACGTCGAATGTAGAACAAGTTTTCTTTCGAAAGTCACCAAAGAGGTCATTTGTGAGGTTTCGGAAAATGCCGGCACTTGTAATAAATTATGCACGAGTTTCAGGACACCACTCAATAATGAGTCAAGAAAACAAAGCAAACATGCTACTTCATATAACAGAGTTCTTTTGTAAAGTGCAATTCAATAGCGTTTCACCGAAATTAGATCTGTCACCTGTTTTAGATACTATGGCATCTCTTTCTTTCTTTCTCCTTCTTTCCGCCCAGTTTAAGACGATAGTTCCTTGGGGAAACGTTCAACTTTATCGTTTTTCAACAAGCTCTGTTTCTTTTGGTAACTTTGTGCGCAATCCATTTAGATATTTATGGGAAGAGAAACCGGCATCGTCCATGGTGACAGATCAGTCGCACTGTGCCTTGCTTTGCGTTAGCGAACCAAAGTGTTATTCGTTCAACATGGTAGTGTATCCTGACTCCAAAGGTCTTCATCTGTGTGAATTACTGTCTTCTGACAAGTACAGAGCAACTGAAAGATTACAGGCCAATTTTTCGTACCATCATTACAGCCCTTGGGTAAGAATTGCAGATCGTAATGAACTAAGTGCTGCCTGTATTCGTTTGTTTGTTTGTTCTGTTTTAATATAATTTTTCAGCCGTTTTCAAGGTGTTTTTCCATTTTTACTTAATTTGCTGTTAAAGTGACTACTGAAGGTTAACCTTAAGCCGTTTTTCCTCAGTCTCCATGTGAAAGTGCGCCTTGTATGAACGGTGGTGTCTGTGTTCCTGAATATGAATCGAACTCCTATCATTGTGATTGTCTGCTTGGATTCTGTGGAACTGACTGCGAACAAGGAGGTAATAAGCCAGTCAATATCTTTGAAGATGCGTAAATCATACATGGCTATTCTTTGAAAGTGTAAATCAACTGAAATGAAAAGAAGATATCATCCTGAAAGCAGTCAGTTTTCAAGTTACAAACATGAGAATAGCTAAAATAATTGAGATACAATATTTTACCTTTCTCGCCGCCTGATTTTCTTATATTGTAGAGCACCAGAATGTTGTGCGGGAGGTCGAGGGTCTTAAAATAACCGAGGAGACCATGAATGTACTGGTTTGCTAAGACATCTGTAAATGGTTATACATTTTTGTCTTCTCAGATTAGATTCCGGCCCGCATCTTCTCTGTGCTAGTTAACAGGGAACGTTTAAGAACCCACACACTTATCGCAAAGAGTAGGGAAAATAGCTCCCGGGGTTGTGGTCTGACTTTGATTCTGAAATGAAGATCATCTGCAAATTCCTTCTCAAAAATTTAAAACTGATCAATGCCGTCCGGTCAAAGTTGGACGAAAGAACATTTAATTTATGGATCATGCTTATTTAACATTACGTAATCTTTTTCGTCGTATTGTAGGTTTTTGTTATTACGTAACGTCTCTTGTTTTGTAAGATAATTTTTAGGTTTGTTTTCGTTTCGTTTGCTATACACTTGTAAAAAAAAAAAATATATATATATATATTTTGTTTTGAGTGTAAATTGTTCAGGTTTCTTCGAAGTCGTGTTCGAATTTATTCGAGGTCATTCAAGATTAGTTCGTTGGAGACCGGTCATTTTGTGCTCAGTTTAAATTTGTTATTCGTACTTAGTTCGAGTTAAAAATAAAATGTTCAGCTAGTGAACAAAAGTCCCCCAGAAATTGTTATAAAGCGCCAGGAGCCAATGTATACGGCGCTTTAGAAATCCTTCATTAATTATTAATTACTATTATTGAAAGCGTCGACAATTATTTTTTCAGTAATATGAACACACAAAGGTAGAAAGACTGCTGTGTTTAATCATTTCCTTCTCTGTTTCCAAGGAGGTAGAACCTGTAGTCAGATCAAACTTTGTAATCTCCCGGATGGCTCTTACATCATCGACCCTGATGGAGAGGGAGGAGTGAAACCTTTCAAAGTCTATTGTGACATGACTGACAAGAACGGTGTTGGAGTGACAGTTGTTAGTCACGACAGTGAACGTAGAACACTGGTGGATGGTTTTAATGGCAAAGGTACTTATTCTCGAAATTTTGAATATGATAAGACTGATTTGGTTCAATTGGCAAGCTTGACATCTTTATCCGCTAACTGTGAGCAGTTTATAAAGTACGAGTGCTATCACGCTAAATTATTTTTCAATGGTGGCATGAACAGTTGGTGGGTGTCACGTGGGGGTGAGAAAATGACCTACTGGGGAGGAGTCGATTCTGTTGATTACAAATGCGCATGCGGATTGACCAACTCGTGTGCAGACCTTAGTGACGGATGTAACTGCGATAAAAATGACGAAAACTGGCGAGAGGATAGCGGTTTACTCACAGACAAGTCCAAGCTTCCTGTGACACAATTGAGATTTGGAGATACCGGTAAGGCAGGTGATACGGATGAAAAAGGGTATCACACGCTTGGAAAACTGAAGTGTTATGGACTCAAACATAATTTACAGTAAGTGTAGAACTCAAAACTCGCCTAGCCTTAAACGTTATTAATTGGCAAAGTATTTTCTACCAGAGATTTCAAGATCGTTTCCAGCACAGCTAATGATAACAAACCCCTCATTTGTTAAGTTAAAAAATATTAAATAGTTAAATATTCTCCACATCACCCACCCTTCTATTAAATATCGACGAATCCTCTTAAACTGTTGTGAATCATTTACGTTTGCTTTTGTTTGTTACATTCATCGTTTTAAATTAAAAGGCCAAGGAAACGTAGGACCATTTAAAACAAAGAGAAATACTATACGATGTTACAGTTATTTGTTTAGAATACAATCAACTAAAAACTGTGTGATCTACTAGTAAATTCTGTGATTTATGGTCACTGTTCTTGTTTTGAATAGTTTAAAACGTGCACTCGTTTAAGACTGTTGCATTACTCGAGTTTTCTAGTACTGGCTTCCAAATGAGTGCTGGGATTGAGCAACTCAGCATCAATTCCCTCAGGAAATAAGTTGGTAGCACGTTATAAATTAAAGCGATATAAAGTCAAGAAAAGCTTCACATTTTTTTTTTTTCAAAAAAAGGTTGGTAAACAAACTGTTTTTGTTTTTAGTTTCCTGTTGGACGAAGGAGATCACTTTTCTCTGTTAAGATTAAAACCCTTTGCGGTTGTAAAACGCTATTGCGTTAAGCTGTCGCAACCACTTTTGAGTTATTTTGTGAAAGTTATTAAAATAAAATTAAATAACATCATGGTCCTCATAGACCACTGNTTCAGTCGGAATCCCTTAGGGCTCGTTCCTAGGGCCAACGTTATTTGCACTTTATACCAAAGACTTAACATCCTCGGTCCCCTCAGTTGAAACCTATATGTTGGCGGACGATAAAACGGGGACCAGGCAATGCATCAGCTAAACAAAGCACTGAAAGAGGTTTACCCCTGGTGTCTTAAAAACAGGCTCACACCACACCCCAACCCCACCCGTTACCATCGGGGGTTGCCTCACCAAGCTGGTAAACATATCGAGGATACTCGGTGTAAGAGTGGACGATAGGCTACGTACATGGTCACTACACCTTTCTGAAGTGATAAAGAGCTTTGCTAAATCTATTAAGAAAATCGAAGTTCCTACCCTGTGAGCGCTTTGGAAAAATCCTTCTTTAGTGTTATTCTGCTCTCAATCACCTACGGCCTTGTGATATGGGCAAACTGCTGCGGCAGCAACTGTGATCTATTTAGGTCAATCCACAGCCGAGCCGCAAAGCTAATATACTACTTAGGGAATGACACTTCCTATCAAGACGCAATAAAGATAGCCAAAGGGCATTCCTCAGCTAACATCTAGAAGATCAAACTGTTCAAGCTGATGCATAATGCTTACAACGATAAACTACCTGTACTACAAAGTGACAACATTGTTACTACGAGAAACACCGAGTACTCGTTTGAAAGATCACAAAATGTTATTATTTCTAGGTTTTAATCTCGTTATCTAGAGCAGTATGTCCGTTGCAGGGGCGCAATCTTCTGGAATGTAATTGCATTCAGGCATTCGCACATAACTCCCGCTGAACGTTGGTCTTTAGACTCCAGACTGAGTAAAATACAAGTACTAAGAGATTTCCATTTCAAAGCAACATCTGCCTCAACGGTCAACTTCAGTAATAACGATTTTATATGTTTTTAGGATTTTTAGCACTTAGTCTTGAAGGTATTACAACCGAAAATTATTGTAAACTTATCATTTTACTGTGTGTAATTCTACTTTAGACTTAGATGCACAACCCCATAAGCATTAGCTTTAACTATCATCGTGCTGCCTAAAGTGTATGTTTGTATCAGTCGTTGCGTTTGCATAATTTTCAAAGTGAACAAAGGTGATGGGAACTGGCGCCTCAGTGATGATTCCCGCTGAATCAGATCACAAGCCACGCACAGTGTGGAGAAGATCAAATTTAAAGGAAAAAAACTTGCTCTCCGGTCATTACAGATACACTGCATGGCGGAAGCCATGTAGGGAGTAAAACCAAGCGGAGATTGTAGAAACGTACAATGATGACCTTTTGTCCCTTTGGGACTGCGACAGAAAGGAGGTAGATCGATTTATCAAAAATGCTAACTATTTCCACCCTACTTTCACATTCACGGTCGAAATATCAGAGAAACATATCACTTTTCTCGATTAGCTATCGCCTTTCGCGACTCTAACGCTACTTTCGTTGCTTACCAACCTCCCGCTTAGATTCATAACTCAGTTATATACGCTATGATGTTTACCCTTTGTTGATTTTTAGCTTATGGCAACGCAACAATAGAAAATTGGAAAGCAACCAAACTATTTTTGAAACATCTGTCCTAAACCCTTCTCATGGGCAAAAATAAAGAAAAACCTTTTTTCCGACAGAAAGTCGAGATGACCGCTCTTAGTACTAGCGGCGCTAACTGTGCTAGGTGTGGTGTAAAAAAAGTTAACAAAATGAAAAAAATAAAGTGTGAACTAATCGTAACGATGAAAATGTTTCGCCCTTTGTTCCACGACGTTTAGTCATACTAAGCGTGCTGCGTTGGCGTGTTGTAAGCGTGCTCTGGGTCATATAAGGGTAACGCGAGTTATTCCTCCGAAAAAAAGTACCCTTTCCCTTCTCATCCTATTTTTATCATGTTGTCGCCCAAAAACTGAGTCATGGGTAAACTCTTTTTAAATAATTTATCCAAAGTAAAAAAAATAGAAAAATTATGCATTTTGGTAAATTATGTCCTGCTACATTGCTTTAAATATTTTGCAGTTTACGTCGTTTACAGGTCACAGAATTGTGATGAGCTCCTAGAGAACTTGGATACTACACGACAAGTGTCATTTTTTGTTTGGTGAGAGGCAGTTATAACGTCGTTAGTTCTGGAGATTTTGTGGTCAATCATACCTTGGACCTGCTCCCTTAATGAGGTCTTTAATTATTAAAATCAAGCGATTACCATGAAGGATAATGTTCTTTTCAATTTTCAACGTAAAATTAAAACGTTTTGCATCTTAAGGTAGGCCATTCAGATGGTGACGGTCCACCAGCCGGCCATCATGCTCCTTCTGCCAATCTTGATATT